CATACATACATATACATATACATACATATATATATATACAGACACACATTATGTGCTGTCTAGTCACCTGCAACTCATAATGACCCTATATACAACAGTCCTAAACCCTGCTCTATACTGTGACAATCTTATTTTCTTTGGCACACCTACCCACATTATCCCAGTCACTGAATCAATTCACCTCATTGAGGGTCTCCCTCTCTTTCTCTGTCTCTTCACCCTCCCAAGTATGACGTCCTTCTCCAAGGACTGGTCTCTCCTTGCAACACGCCCAAAGTAGGTCAGACAAAGCTTCAGAATTATACACACACACACACACACACACATTTAAAATATACACGTATTCTTTATAGTCTATTGTATTCCAAAGCCAGAGAGAGTATACTGATATAAGAAAGTAAAGAGAGGGAAATCTGTATGATGCCTAAATGGGAATAAATTTTAAAAAATCATCGACTTTTAATGTGAATGGAGATTTTTAACCTACCAATCATCTTCATTTATAATTTTATATTTTAATACCAGTCTCTCTACTACCAATAGTATTTGTAAATTATAGATGACTAATTTTTCAATAAAGTTCCATAATGTAGTCTTCTGTACTTTAAGAACATGTGTACACAAATTAGTAAAATCATTAACACAACTACTAAAGTATGGCTCTTAGTGTAAAGTCAAGGTTCTTATAAAATTAGGTAATTTGCTCATTCACTCAAACATTTAACATATGAGACAAGAGAGAAAAAGACAGATGTGTGGTAAAAATGGGAACAATTGAATAATTACTACTACTACTACTAAAACTGAGACACTTGCTGATTATGAAATAATGAACAAGATGGATAAAGGGGGATCTCAGGGGTTGATTAAGAACACTGAAATAACTTCAGCCTTCCTTAGCAATTCAATCTATAACTTGTGATCATGTTGCAATCATACAACTCACTGTTATAATTAGAAAACATAATGCAAAACAGAAGTATACTTTGATACTTTAAGGATTTCCCCAATGTAAGGATTCCGACTGTGAAGCCCATCACTCACTCACCTACTGCCATGGAGTCAGATCCAACTCATAGCTTTCCCTCCAGTAGGTTTTTGAAGGCTATAAATCACATGGGAGATTGCTTATCTTTCTCCTAAGGAGCTCCCAGCATATTCAAACCAGCAGGAACTTCAAGGAGAGGCGCCATCTTTGGGTTAGCAGTGCAGTTCCCTAAGATTACCACAGCAGAGCTTCCTGGGTATAGCCAGAGACACTATAATTGACCTGCTGCTCATTATCAATCAAAATGTTATTGGTAATACCACATGCTAGCAGAAAGAAGGCTGAGCCTTCCATACTTCCATCGTGCAGGCTGATAACATAATGCTGATCATCATCTGTTTCTGTCCAGGTCTGTAATGTGTCATGAAAACCTGCAATTCAGTTCTAACAGCATTTTCCCAATAATTTCTCTTACTGCTACTCTATCCACCATACTGTTAACTAGGAGCTAGAAGCTGTGAATTCAAGACCCAGCCCTGCCCATTTGCTACCATTCTCTTAAATACCACTTTCATCTATAACATCTCAGTTTCCTTACTTGTATATGGGCCTTTTATGCCCCACCTGCCTCACTGGTTTATTCTGAGACCACAGAAAGCCATGGAAATGCCAACTATCCTTCCTCAGAACAGTTTAGGATCCATTTCAATTTCATGAAGAAACTAGAAAGGCACAAGCTGAGTAACTGTACTTACTATGCCTAATTGGAGGGGAAGAAAAAGAATTCAATAGAGGAAATAGAGAACAGACTTAGTTTGGAATCTGGTTTCAAGGTCAGCTTTATGTTTTAATAATCATAGACCGATGGCCATTTAAAAAATATCCTCTTTAAAATTCAATTTCCATATGTTTGTTGTTGTTGTGTACTGTGGAGTCGGAACCAACTTATAGCTGACCCTTCGGGGGGTGTTAACTACATAGCTGGAGACGGTTCATCCCTCTCCCACAGAGCAGCTGGGGTGGGCGGTGAGTAAACTAAGTGCCTTTGGGATTGCCGTGCAGTTTCTTAACACTAGGCCACCAGAGCTTCCTAATTTACACACAGCTAAAATAAAATTAATACCAACTCTACCGATATATCAGTGTTATTGTCAAGTTAAGGAACATTATAATGCAAAGGTATTCTAAAATGCTGTGAAATACTATTTGATTGATGAAAATAACATAATCTATGCAAATAAATGGTTATCATAAATCTCACTCAGGGTTCTTTTTAACTACCAAGGCACTATGTAGAATGTACCTATAATACTCCAAAAATTATCCTACAAAACACCAGTTCTCCAAAGTGGATCACCTTAAAGCTTAGTCTCATGCTATTAGCTACACGTTTTTACAGCATGAAAAACAATTTCAAATTGACCACTGGTCTAGTGAAAGTAACAGTACATACACAGTACTCTCCACTCCCAAAGAAATGGGATTGTTTTCCTTGATTTCTAATTTTAAAAG